ATCTGCAAGTGAATATTCAAGAATTGAATTTTTCAGTTATTTTTCTTCATATTAAGTGATATGTAGTCATATGCTAGAGTTGAGGAAGAGTTTTGTTTTGCTAAAGTGGTGGAATAGCATGTGTTAGTGGAGGCTTGTGTGTTTCTGTAATGCTGAACAGGTTTCAGTGGAGCTTCTAGATTAAGACTGACTAAGAAGAAAGGCCTGGCAATCTACTTCCAAAATGATCCCTTTGTGCATGGTATTGCCTTGAGTTGGGGGCTTAGTCGATGGCAACTAACAACAATTAAGTGAATTCTGTATACTTTAGGAAAGTGAAATCTGATGGTAGACATTGGGGGATATTGAGTAAGTGTTTACTGTTTTTCATCAGTTGTAAGGTACACATTATTTTACATTTTAATATCTCTGAAATTGGGGTGTGTCTTACAATTGAAGGCATTTTACAATCCCTGAGCTTGGCATTCCTGCTACTTCTGGCCACCCTCCCACTCCATGGGCAAATAAAGCCCAGCAGCTGCTATGGTGAGTAGTTGGCAATCTCCCTGTTCTCTGACACTTTGATTGTATTCCCTGACTCAGTCTTCAGTTCCTTTGTTTTGTCACTGCTGAATCTGAGCCTGGGAGACCTTGGACTACTAGTGGCATATTTATTACAGATGCTGCTTTGTCTTGGGTTGGGCAGGGACTTCTCTGGGTCTGAGATGAAGTCTAAGAAAGACCTTAGGGTAAATAGTCTAAGGGATACAGTACTTCCCATAGCTGTTTTATTGGCAGCATATTTCTCATGATGGTATACAGATAAATGATGCATTTTCTAATCAATGATGGCTTTGGTTTGTTGAGATTTATAAAGTTAACATAAGTCTAGTAGAAAAAGTCTGAATTTAGAGTTAGATGGTATGAGTTAAGAGTTCTGGCTCTGCTGCTTGCCAGTCATGTGACACGGTTATTTAGGGCTTCAGTTTGTCTGTGTATAATATGAGACTTGGACCATATGATCTTCAGTCCCTTCTAGTTCTGAATGAACTGGAGTCTAAGTGCTTTATTGAAGTGTGAGGACTGTGTTTTAAGAACATAGAAGACGTGATGACGACTTCTGGTAAGGTGGAGGAGTAGGCAGACAAGCAACACAGACCCTCTTCAACAAAGAAAAGAAAAACCAATTGATAGAGATACAGAAGATAATCCTGGAGTCCTGAGCTTTGAAAGGAACTATACAGAAGTGGATTAGGCATCAACTAGTGGAAAAACCTGAACATAAACAGTGAGTACAGACATGGTTGGAGCTGTGGACCGTCAGCGACTCTGATGAGACCAAAAGCCTGAATATTTCCGAGTGGTGTTGGGACCTGAGAATTGACCTAAAGATCAGCCCTGGTCACCAAGGACTTCAGGGACGACTGCGTTGGTGGCCTATGACTAGGAAGAGAAACAACAAGGAGGGAGACAACCTGAGCTGCTGACTTTCTGCTCTCCAGAGGGTGCAGCCATTTTGAGTGTTTACATGTGGCAGCCATTTTGGATATTTAAAGTGACTGAGGGTTTAGCCATTTTGAATGTTTACAAGTGGTGGCCATTTTGGATATTTAAAGTGACTGAGGACGTAGCCATTTTTGATCTTTACAAGTGGCAACCGTTTTGGATTTTAAAGTGATAGCATTCTCATTCGGATTTCAGGGACCTAAGAGTAGGCTCTGTTTGCCAAGGTCAGCAGGGACATATGAGAGGCTAACAACAGGAAAGGAGACAGGTGGTGAGTGTATAAGTGCTGTCAACTAGTGAATAGAGGAGCACAGCACAGTACCCTGCTTGCATAGATAACATACAAACAAAACAAAATGAAAATAGTGGGTACATCACCCAGTATACAATCACCAATTAAATATAAACACAAAAACGTCACAATGCCTCGGACACAACAGAGCATCACAGTCCACACAGAGAAGCAAGATAAGCAGGAGAAACAAAGGACCAGGATATAGACCCAAAGCACATCTCTGAGGAAGACACAGCATTGGAACTCCCCTATAAGGAATTCAAAAGAATTATATTTAGGTATCTTCAAGGAATTGAGAGACAGGTAAAGGAAAACACAGAGAAAAACCCTAGAACAATTTCAAAAGACAATACAAGAACAAAATGACAAAATAAATGAAAAATTAGAAATGATGCAAAATTTACACACTTAAATGCAGAAAATTAATACTAAATTTTCAGAAATAGATTAAGACATTGAATGGGCAAGAGAGCAGAATTGAATCAATGGAAGACAGAATTAGGGAGATTGAAAGCAAATACCTGAACACTTCTTTGGAAAGGGACCAATGAGAAAAAAAATCAAAACAAAATGAAGAAAGCCTAAGGTTCATGTGGGATACATCAAAAGGAATCACCTACGTGTAATTGGAATTCCAGAACAGGAAGAGAAAAATAAAACCACGGAAAAAATTGTTGAAGATTTGTTGGAAGAGAATTTTCCTGGAAAGATGAAAGATGTGAATATATCCATTCAGGAAGTCCAACGAACCCCGAACAGGATGGACCCAAAAAGAAAATCACCAAGACGTATCATCATCCAACTTACCAAACCAAAGACAAAGAATCATGAGAGCAGCATGGGAAAAACGAGAAGTTACCTAAAACGGGCAACCAGTAAGACTAAGCTCGGATTTCTTGACAGAAACCATGCAGGTGAGAAGACAATGGGATGGTATATATAAAACGCTGAAAGAGAAAAATTTCCAACCAAAATTATGTACCCAGCCAAATTGTCCCTCAAATATGATGGTGAAATTAGGACATTTCCAGATACGCAGAAATTAAGGGAATTTGTTAAAACCAGACCAACCTTATAAGAGATGCTAAAGGGAGTCCTTTGGACAGAGAAGCAACAACAGCCAACAACTGACCATTAACACACATGATGATATAACCCAGAAGCCAGCCCAGCTATGGAAGAATTCGGAGTAAATAAGCCTATAAGATTGTAAACAGGGAACCAGAGACAGCAGTTGACAAATGAGGACAACTACAACCCAAAAAGAGGGAAAAAACTGTGTTGTTACAGAGCTTCTAGATGGTAGGGAAGTCAAAACAACTACAAGATAGAACAGACTGTTCTAAACTTAGGAAGAAAACTATAAATCACAGGGTAACCTCAAAGAAAAATGCTAAACCTTCACATCAAAAAAGAGGACCAGCATAAATAT